TGATACCATTAGCAGGGTAATTGTGATGACCTTAAACCTGAACTTGGGATAAAAATATAGAAACTTCAACAATATTATGATATAATTTATATCAATAATATTGTGATAATTGATAAATAGCTTTTTTTTTGCCCAAAAACCTTTGCTTCAGAGATCAGCTAGAAAATTGTAATTAGATGCAGTTATAGGCCTTATTTTAAATAAAAAATGCTTGATGCATTAGCTCAACGCAATATTTGACATCATAAAATTCTCTTTATATTTTTATTTGTTAAGACATTAACTTTTTTAAATTACTGCAATAATATTAATTACCGCAAAACAAGTTAATTTTTATTTAACAGCTTTTGTAATTATTATTATAACCGAATATTTTATGAATATTATTATTATTATTTTTTTTTAATATTAAATAATTAAATTTAATATTGCATTTTGAAAAAAGTTTGATATTAACAATTTTTTTTTCTCGAGATTTGCAAAATTAAAACATGTTAAATTTTTGAATGTTTAAAATGATTATTTCTCAAAAGCCTAATTGCAGCTTTGCAACTACAAATGATTTTTATTTTTAAAAAAAATTAGAGAGTAACAAATAAAAAAACTATGTTAATTTATTTACTTTATTTATTAAAAGTTTATTAGCTTATTATTTTAATATTAAAATTATATTGTTGTATATATCGTTTATTAAAAAATAACCGCTGTGATTTAACTTGTGTTATAAAAAAAAAAAAAAAATTTGCACAAAACTTATGTTTTGTGCAAATTTTTGATGCAGCCGTTCATTTAAAATTTAATTTTGAGTAAAATAAAAATGTTTAGGAAGGAAAACCGAAAAAACAATTGCGATAAAAATGAGCTAATTTTTTTTTAAGAACAAATAAAATTTTAATATTGAATAATATTTAGCATTATTTTAAAATAAATTTGACAGTTAAACCCAAGCATTAACTTTAATTTTAATAAATTTAAATATATTTTTAAAATCAAAATTAAATATATTTTTAAAATCTAAATTAAATTATATATTTTTTTTAACAGAAAAAAATTATTTTTTTATTAAATTAGTTTTAAATTAAAGCATATATTTTTTGAATTAAATTGTGTTTTTATGATGTTTGTTCAAGCTTAAAAAACCAATCATTACAATAAAATAAAAACAAAATAAAAATAAACTTTTAATTTTATTTGAGTATTTTTCATTAGTAAATAGCGCTTATATCAAACAAAATTGCCATTCAAACTTTTGTGACATATTTTTACATAAATGCCATTCAAAAGTTAATGTGGCTTTTTTTTAAATTAATTGTGTACAAAAATTGTTCTATGCATGACACTTTAAAACAAGGCCTGCAGTTAACATCTGCCCAATTTGAGTATTTTTAGAGAAACATCATCTCTACACTTTACTCAACTAAGAACTCTAAAGCAGGGAGTATTTTAAGTCAGAGTTAATCATACTTTAAAGGATAACCTGTATTTTTATTATACTCACCAGTATTGAGATATGTTAAGTTTTTTTAAAACTAAACTCTTTGCGCTTCAGTGAAGCAGGTTTAAGAGGTGCTAACATGATGACTGAAAAAAAGCCAAAATTAATGCATAACCTTTTTGAAAAATCAGTTTTACTGAAAAAAAATTAAACCAGTGTTTAGAATTATTGTTTTTGCATATTTTGTTCACTTTAAATTTTTTTATTTCTAATAACAACATTTAATATTAATATATAACTTATTATAATATATAACTGGAACAAGTTCTCATTTTACAAAAGGAACAGTGAATAGAAATAGATTATGTTAAAACAAAACTTTCTAAACACTCATTTTTTTCAAGAAAAATATAAAAGATGACAATACCCAGTATTATTCAGAATTAAATCACTACTTAATTCTAAATAATACTGGGAATTATTATGCATTATTTTAAACATAATTTCTTTACTGTATATTAAGCAGCTATTCTATACTGAGCAAAGCAGATTTTAGTTTAGCGTAAATAAAATAAGTCGTTAAGAAAAGTAATTAAAGCAAACAATAAACAACAATTAAAAACAAATAAATAAAAACAAAGTTAAAAGAAAAAAGTCAATGAAAATGGAAAATAATAAAAATAAACTGAAACTTTTCTCCCACCAATATTTTATGAAAAGAAAAGAAAAGGAACAATTTTAATTAATTTTGTACATTGTTTATATGCATATAATGTATATATTTTATTATTTACATTGTTTATATGTATATAATGTATATATTACATTGTTTACATATTACTTATTACATTGTTTATATGTATATAATGTATATATTTTATGTATATAAAAAATGTTGAATGTATTTATTTTTTTGCATTTTTCTCTGTCAGTTGTTGCTTTTCTATATCTTGATATTTACTTTTGTTTAACTAATCGATGTAATGCGTAATTTAGGCTTTAATATTGAATATAGTAGTGTATGTATACATTTTTTTAAATTTAAGTTTGCCTTGATTTTGCTTTTTTATATTTCTCTACGATAATTTTTTTCTCTCACTCTAACCTTCTAAACTTTAAACTGTCATTCTCTCTTTTTTTTTTTTCTTTTTTCTTACCCTTACTCCTTTAATATTTTTGTTCTGAATCCAATTTTTTAAATATTATTGTTCCTATTACATCTTTTTTTATTACTAGTATTAATGTAATTTACTTTCTTTATTATTTCCTTGTCTCAATATTTTTTTATTATATTTGTTTATTTTATCAAGGTGTCACTCCATTAACTAGTTTTTAACAATGAGTAACACCGAACCTAACTTTGTAAATTATAATTAAACTTGTCATTTTTGATTTTATGGTTAAATAAATGGATAAACTTGAACACGATTTCTCTTCTGCAACAGTCTTTCAGTATCTTGTAAATTTTAACCCAAACAAAAATCAGTTTTTTAATGCTAATAACTATCACAACATTGTTCTATTCATTATTTTATTTATTATTTTTATATTGATAAATGGAAACACTCTTATTGAGTCCTCTACTATACATTTTCTTGGATTATTCTTCACTAATGACTTATCATAGAAACCATATATAATATAATCCATTGCAAAGTTACACTCTCCTAAAGTTTTCAATGTGCTAATGCTGCCTTGCATCTTTTTTTTTTCATAGTTTTTTCTCAAGCAAACTTTACTTGTTCTATCAGCCAAAACTCAATGTTGTATTACTTGTCATTCAGCAAAGTTGCATAATTTTACTTTAATTGAATTTTCCTGCTCAAAAAAATTTAATTTATTTCAAATATTCAAACATTGCTTCAGATTACTTTCCTTTCTTCATGCTTTACTGACTCATACAATTTACAGTCTTCTGTTCTGCTTTTTAGTTCTTTAACTCATAAGCTTTAACTTTTTAGTTCTTTAAGCTCAAATATTTTACTTCACTATTCAACTATTTTTCTCCCCTCTGTTTTTATGACATACATAACAAATAATTTTTTACAGATTTAGAATCATACAAAAACACACATTTTAAACAATCTTGACAAAACTAATTTGCTAAAAAAGTGTAAAATTTAGACAAGGTGCAGAAACGCAATGTAAACATAGTTGTACCTGCTCTTGCAGCAAACCTCTAACCATTATCACATCGCCATAATGTTGCTTCTCTTTCTCTTTTCTATAAATAAATGGGCACTGCTCTAAAGAACTAAAGTCTCTTATACCATCTACTAAAATTCATTCTCATGTTACTCGTCATTCAATTAAGTCTTATTTTTTTACTGTGACTGCTCTTAAGTGCTCCAAAAATTCTAATTTGTCTAATTTTTTTCCTCACACATCAGTTCTTTGGAATTCACTCCCTTCATCTTGTTTTCCTGATTTATATAATTTGCAATTTTTTAAGTTGTTTGTTAAGTTGTTGTGGCTGGATAGCTCAGTTGGTTAGAGCGTCGAACAAAAAGTTTATACCCGGACTGTTGTAAGATACGAGTTCAAATCCTGCCACCGCCAACTCAGCACTTGAGTAGTACTTCGGTACGCAAAAATGTTTGTCAATAGTGGACGCTACTTTGGATTAGTCTTAATGACTATTTGTGGCTGTTCCTATGCTAAGACAACAATATCTTCGGATATAAAAACATTGTATAGAAAAATATAGCATGAAAATTCAAATTTAAAAAAAAAAAATGTTATCTTGCTCTGTAAACTTCATCTTTTCTCTTCCAGTAACTTCCAACTTTAAGAGTGGTTGCTTGCAGCCTTGTTGGAAGTAAAGATGTTGAAAGAAAAAAAAAACTGTTTATCTATAGTTGCTCTTTATGATTTAGCTCTACTAAAAGAGTGTGAATAACAACAATAAATTTATCAGAAATTTAGATATATACACTGGTTTTGTTGAAATAGATTAAAGTCATAAACTACTCAATATTCTGCTCACTTTTATATAGCAGACCTATATTGTGGAGAGCAACCACGGACAAACTAACAAAAGTTTCCATTTTTTATTTAGAAAATAAAACCTATTATGTCTCTATTTCTGGTAAATATACTATTGCTTATTGTTGCTTTTTAATGTTATAAATATAAAAGTTTATTTATAATTAAACAAATTCTAAAGAAATTTATATCAACTATTATTCTTTTTCTTTGAAAGGAACTTGAGTGTTAAAAAGATTAGACTAAAAAAGTACTAAAGTCTTTTCCGTATATTTTAAGACCTATACTTTTCTGAAATTCCGAACCAGCATATCGTATATAGTGATAAAAAAATGGTGATGGGAAGTATAGCCAAATGAGTAGAACTAATAATGTGTTCATTCTCACAATACTAAAAAAATATAGGATTTATTAAATATTTAGTTACTTCTTCGTGTGATTATTCAAAGTGATCTGTTTAACAAGCGTTATACTATAATGATTGTTAAACTAATTTCTTTGAGCGATCGCATCAAGTAGTAGCTGGATAATAATTAACCAATGCGTAATAAATATGAAAAAGCAAAATTCAAAAGCAAACCTAGCCAACTCTTTTCCATCGAGTATATTTGCCATAACTATAAAGCTTATAATAGTTGTATACTATCAAGTTATTTGCTTCAAGAAAATTAATTGACGCTCGGTATTATTAAAGTGTGTTTACCGACACCGCCTTCCAAAAAAAAATTGTAATATTAAAGTATTATTAAAGTGTGTTTACCGACACCACCTTCCAAAAAAAATTGTGCCGGTAAATTTAATCTTTTGCGTTTGTAATAATACACGTATATATAGTCTCAGTTCCGTTCCGCAAATTATCTGAGAAAATTTGAGTAAAAGTTTGAGAAGCAGAATATGACATCTTTGATATAAATTTTATTAACGCTCATTATCTTTTTATTTTATTTAAATATCTTAAATTTTAGCTAAATATCTTTAATTTTATTATTTAGCTAAATTTATCACCCGGTGGGAAATGAGCTACCGATTAGCGAGCGACTAGCTAGCTTTATACCGATTTTCAGGCGATTTTTTTTTTTTCTTATTTTATTTTTTCTTGGTGTTTTTAATATCTTTAAAAATTCAATTTTTAGTATTGAGTCTGTTATAAATATGAGAATAATTAAACTTTAAACATTGTGATTTTGTAGCAATGAGTCGCTAGCTACATATCGTAGCTTTGTTGCTAGCTACAAAATATCTACAAATCTATAGCTGATTGATAGCTGCATATCAAAATTTTTTTGACAGAGATTTTATTACGATATAACGCTAGCTACAATAACCAAATTGCTATTGTAGTTAGCGTTATATCGTATTTTTTTTTAAGCTAGCTGTCCTCGTAGCCAAATTGCTTTGTTTATCTTCACAAATATCGATAGCTTTTCGTTTACTTAAAAAAGCTAGCGATCCTCGTGGCCAAATCGCTGTCTTTATCGTTACGATTATAGCTAGCTATTTGCTAGCCGATTTCCCACCAGACACTAGTTCGAAATATTTATCGTACTAAACGATTTTGTCATAATTTACGGAACGGAATTGAGACTATAAACCCGTGTACTCGATTCCGTCTAAGTCCACAAGATTTGTCAAATAGTAGCCGCAAGCATTAAACAGCTAAGTTTATAACTAACTAGTAAAAATGTTGTAGCAAGCCATAAAACAACATTTAGCCACAGCCAGGAGTTAAGGTCAAATAAATGATTAATTAACTAACCTTTTTATTGTTTAACAGTTTATAATGTCCAATTCGTTGTCGAAAGTTTTATAAAACATATCAAATTAGGAGAATATCAATACACGCGCGCGCGCATACAAACATACTTACTTTTCTAATACCTTTTTTTAAATCAACGCAAGAGGAACAGGAAACTTTACATTAACACATTAAAAAAATTATAGAGATTTTCAATTTTATACTGTTGCCCCTATTTATATAACAAAATAATATTTCAAAATATAGAACCTAATAAATTAAACAATCTTGTTGCTCTAAAGAAAAAGCTAAAAGATCTGCTAAAAACCATGGTTTAAAAGATCTGCTAATTAACAAAACCAATTTTATCGATATGTATTAAGTGTAAAAGATAAATTTTGTTATTATTGTTATTTTATTATTATGTTTTTCACCATTAAAAAAAATTTATAAAATTACTTGTTATAAAATGTAAATATACGGCTGGGGCACGAAGAAGACAAATTCAGTCTTATTGTCCCTTTAAAATATAAATATAAGTAAAAAATTACGTTACGTTGTTAAATGACATTTTTTCGTTGCATCTCAATGAAATATATTCAAAAAATATATTGATAGATATATAGATACAAATGTAAAAAGACTTTTTTATTATTGTTATAATAATAATTATTTTTAAATTTTACTCATTAAGATTTTAAATTTAAAATAAATAAAAAGGAGATAACAAGTAAACAGCAAAAGAAGGGAAGTTTAGAGCTAGCATTATGAACAATATTTTTACATTATAATGTATACTATAATTTATACATTATAATGTATTTATACATTATATTGTATAATCTACTTCATATAAAATAATTTTTTTAGTAACTCTATCATACAAAACACAAAATTATAGTATAAAAATTGAATATAATATGTAAGAAGTATATTTATAAAAAATAAATAAATATAAGAAGAAATTTAAAAAAAGTATAAGAAATTAGTTTTTAAAAACTCTAATATACAAAACACAAAATTATAGTATAAAAATTGAATATAACATACAAGAAATATATAGGTACTCGCTTATTTACAGATTTTATATAACATTTTATATACACAAATTTTATAAAACATATTATTGTTACAATTGTTTATATTTCAGATTTATAAAGGTTTAGATTAAGATCAAAAATAATATGATAAAAAATCTAGTAAAAAAAAAAAAACACGCAAAAAAAACAAGTGATTAATCCTAATTTAAAGTTTCAGAAGAAGTATAATTTGTTGTCAATTATCAAAAGTTTTAAGTTTATTTTTAAATTGATCAAGAGAAGAAAATAGTTTTTAACTCGTTATTCATTAGTGTGTTCCATAATTTAGGTCCTCTGATTGCGTCTAAAATTTAGAAGCAGAATAGTTTGTTTTTTTGATTGAATATAATTTTTATTTGAAAATCATATTTGGTATAAATGATTTATTTAAAAAAAAAAAGAGTTAAATAACGTGCCATTTTATTATAAACTTTGAACATAAGTAATTAAGGCTTTGTATAGAAGACCTATATTTTTTGATATTTTATTTTGGATTGTAGTAGACCTCGAAATGTTTACGGGTGTTTTATAAATTTGCTTTATTAAATTTTTGTTCATTTTATATTTTAAGGGTTCTGGATGAAAAGACTCTTATTAAGAGAAGTCTTTTCATCCAATTGTCGAGGTTCGCATAGATGTCTACATAGATGTTCACATAGATGTCTTCCTGCTAACCAAGCTGACTAGCTTTCAGTTTGGGTCCAAACACCAGCCTTGAAGTTCTTTTTTATTTTGTACTGATATTTTATAAAGCTGAAAATTCTGTACATTGTCTAACTTCGTCATAAGTTGTGAGAAATTTTAATTAGCCTAATAAGCTGTTTTACGGTCTAGATCATGTCATAAAATTCACAAATTCACTAAGCTTACATAACTTTTTAGGAATTTTAGTATATATATATATATATATATATATATATATATATATATATATATATATATATATATATATATATATATATATATATATATATATATATATATATATATATATATATATATATATATATATATATATATATATATATATATATATTACTAGTAGTAACCTACAAGTAGTGGTTGTTAAATAGCTAAAAAAATATGTATATATATACATGTAATAATATATATATATATATATATATACATATAAATAATATATATACATATATATTATTTATATGTATAAATTCTATATATATATATATATATATATATATATATATATATATATATATATATATATATATATATATATATATATATATATATATATATATATATATATATATATATATATATATATATATGTATGTATATATGTATATATATATTACTAGTTAACCAACAAGTAGTGGTAGTTAAATAGCTAAAAAAAATGTTTGAACACCACTGACATCACAACAGTATCATAAAGTTATTTTTGTAGCATTATTCCAATACTAAAGAAACGAAATTTTTAAAATTGTATTACGTGTTTTCTTGAAATCTATCGATAAAACAGGAAAGATTTGAATAATAATACAGATTTGTAGAACAGCACGAAAGATTAATACACTAGCAGGAAAATCTTTACTACAAAAAATTTGATAAACTTAAATTCATGGACAAAATATATTTTTTTGAATTTAATTGGAATGGGTATAAAAAAGGACAAGCAACAAAATTGAGTTAAAGTATTTTTTTACAAGTATTCATGCATTTTATACAATACTTAAATAAATATACGTTTTTATGAAATTATTTTTACAACCGAAATAAATAAACATACGCTTAAAAAAAAAAGAGTTTACACTTTAAAATTGTGTTAACATCATGAAATTACTTTTTTCAATTTGAATTAAAATTTTATTTTTTTGAGACTATTTACAGGTGTATTCAGGCGTCATTTTAATGCAGCTATTACATGAAACCTTGCAACACCATACAAATTTACATTCACAAGAATGTGTTTTTTGTACAATATTAACGTTATAGCCTCTTTGGCAACACATAAGTTCGCAACCGTCAACTCCGGAAGAAGTTATGTTACATGAACGACCTTTGGTTCCTGCTATTCCCAACGTTTCGTTTTTTACGCAGTAGTTTGGAGATTCCTCATAGTAAATAAAGTCCAGTGAAGAGGGGGGAAGATATTCTTTATATTTTGGAATAAGGTCTTTTATTTTTCTTTCACCGTTAGCTTTAACTTTGTATAGAAACTCCATTTCATGAGCTGAATCGTACTTTTCTTTAAGTATTTTTCCAATCTGAAAAAAACGTTCTGTTTAATATTGCTTAAAACCTATTTAAAGAGTTTAAACTTTTTATTATTTTATCTACCTTTATCATAATTTTTATAAGAATAAATCTTTCATAAAAACTTTATTAATTTAGTTATCCTTTTTTGTTATTTTTGAAATTGGAAGAGTTTAGTTTAAACTTAAAGTTTAACTTGAAAATTCAGCTTTTAAAAGACTTGGTTTCTATAAAACAAAGAATAAAGTATTAAGCGCTTTTATTTTTTAAAAAAAAATCATTTTTTGCATATAATTTTTATTTTAAGAAAAATTACCTCACTGAAGTGAGGCTGTGATGTGAAAAATTACCTCACTGAAATGGGGCTGTGAACGCCAGCATGTTTTTAAGTTGCAGTTTCCTGATGTTCCGTGGCATTTACATTCAGTCTGTAAAAGGTTTTTTATTACCTAAATATAATTTTAAGTTAAATATTTGTTAAATATCTATTATTTCTATAAATGATTCTAGTTTTTGATCCTTTAATAGGGCTTTTAGAGATATCCAAGAAAACTTTTTAATTTTATTTTAGTATTGCTTTCTAAATAAATAATTTTAATTTAAAAACCTCTCGTCCAGCCTTGTTGTTATGAAGATTCATTATTTTTCGTGGATCTTTTCTTTTTTTTACAATTTTTTCTACTTGATCAATAAATAACTGCGAAAACCATATACCATATGTGATTGGCCTGTTACAACCTCCCCAGCGCCAACCTTCGTCCGTTTGACCTCGTACACTATTATCGCAACGACAGTGGACAGATTTTCCTTCTGCACATGACTCAGTCACTGAAAACGCAACTCCCGCAGATATAATTCCACTAATAAATGCACTTTCTCTGCTGGCTAAAAATAAGTTTCAGAATTAAATATGTAAGTTCTACAGTACAAGTAAAAAAATAGTTAAAAAATACATATATAAAACAAGCCGTATAAAATTGACGACCTGTTATTATAATAGTTAAAATTAAAAACCTGTTGTAATAATTGGGCCAAAAACGGATGTTCCATGTTCGTTTATCGTACAATTCCATTTACGGTGCTTAAATTGAACTTGACATTCGTCAATTCCCAGTCGTATTCCTTCTGCAACGCTTAACATTAGATCAGTGTAATTTAAACATACCGTTCTTTGGTAGTGATGAAGATAAAGCGCTCGACATAAATTTTTATTGATTGATGAACGTGGCCTGGATTCAATTGCTGACGTTTGCGTCCCAAGCGCCCTTATGTATAAACACATTAGGTGAATTAAATTTTGAGCATCTCAACTCTATGGCTAATACCACCTTACATGGTCTTTAATAAAAGAAATTTTTTCAACAAATGGGTATTATTTTCAAGAATGTCAATAAAAATTATTTACTTTACGGTTGTTTTTTTTTAGTTTTACTTTAATTTGAACTGTCTGTTAGGGTTAGATGGGCGCTTAAGGTTAGATAGGCATCATTACCATTTAATTAGTTTTTACTAGTGGTAGTTTCTCAATAATTTTAAATTATTTTCTTTTATATTATGTAAATAAAAATACTCAAAACAATCAAGTTATGTCTAGACAAATTTACAAATTTTTATATTTTTGCTGTTTTTGATTCATTATAGTTTTTAATTAGTTTATGTATTTGTTATGCTTTATAAAATCTTTTTATAAAATAGATTTTTTATGTACTTGATTATTGTAAGTTAAATTATCAATCGTAAGTTTTCGTAAGTAATCGTAGGTAAAAGCATCGTAAGTAAAATTTCTGTATACCATATCATACATTAATTTATAAGCAATAAAAACCTGAACGTTACTCCACACATACCATAGCGTGAACTTTACTCAGTATAAACCATACCTCATTTAAGTCCTAAATAATTACTTTGTCTCAAATAAAATCTAAACCAAATAAATCTTACCCTAAATAAACTTTTTTGCCTAACAAATATTACCTTGCAGTTTTTTTATTTGTTTGAAATGCTTTTATTTTCAAAAAATTTTGTTCGAAAAAGTATTTATACATATTATTATTATCATTATAGATCCGTAACTCCTTACTCGCTTATTACATTAATTTTTTTTTTTTTAGCCATGCACTCTTTTCATTTAAACTGATACCTTCACCGAAAAAATATTTTAAAAATATTTAAGTAACCATGTTAAAATCAATTTTAATATCAAAAACATTGATGAACGAACAGAAATAACCATGAACAGACAAAACAACCGTGAATTATTTAACCCTTAAGCATTATTAAAGTAAACAAGTGTGATGTAAACATCTCCTATATAAATCGATTTCAAAAAATAACTGAGATAATTACTTTAAAACAAATTGTAAAAATTATTAAGCAGCAAAGTACTTACATCCAGAGTTGTGCTTGAGTTTCCATAAAAATTAATAAAAAACACAACAAAGTTTCTTTATAACGCGTCGTGCCCATTTTCTTTAAAAATGCATGTTTTAAAACTGCATATTCTTTGCGTTTATTTTTGCATTGTGTTTAAAAATTAATGTGAAAACTTTTCTTGTGAAATTTCAAATAAAGTTAGAAACAATCAGTCATCTTTAAAGCGCACGATTAGCACGTGTGAATCCTTTTATTATTTTCTTTAATCGGTGACCCTTTCTATTTGCTATGTAAAGAATTGACACGGTTACGTTGAAACTTTTGGAATAGGGATACCGCTTTGACAAAAGTTAACTTTAATGACCTGTTTAACTTTTTGACAGTATCCTGAGATAGATTTTTGTAGTAGTTGTGTTAATGTTAAATCTTTTTTTGCAGAGATAAATTTTTATAAATTTATAACTTTTTATAATGATTAGCGGTTAGTTAAATCAAACCTTTAAAGCAACAAAGTAAAAACGGGTTTAAGCCTTTTCACAATGGGTTATTGAATATCTAATAATATGCACAGTGCGATAAAATTACAGTGAAATTGATATAGCTGTTCTGATATATTAAGCCAAATATTTCACATGGTAATGTTTGTAAAGATTTTAAAGAAGTATCGATTTAACTTTAAGACGTCTATTTGCTTATACTAATTAAAAAATATAAAAGTTCAAGCTTTTTGTGCAGGTAGGAGTTAGAAGGCAGGGAAACGTCAGTAAACATAAAACTTGATGTGCATAATATATATGATAATATTATATGTTTATATTCATATACTATTTCGTTAATATGTTATCGACATCTTTTTTATCAACATTGCAAATATCTCTATAAGTTTAAATTTATCATTAATTGATAAACATTTAATAAAATAATTGTACAAATTACCAAGATAACATATTAGGAGACTCTATCAAAGGAATATTTTATTGGTCATTGTTTTGTCATCGATGAGTTTTATATATATATGTATATTATAAACAAAATTATAATACGTCACTTGTTTTCTGACGTTTTTTTCTGACGATTATTTACTGATGTCATTTTCCTATAAGAAGATGACATCATAATTTACAACTACTTTGCCAACAATTTGGTTGGTCATAACATATTCCAAATGAGCTGATTGGGATGCAATCAGGATTTTTATTTGTTAACATTTGATTAAGACTGAATTTAAAAAAACAATAACTGCGTAGCTCAATAAAACACCCGCTGTCTCTTTTGGCGCCATAGCTGTTAAAGATGTATAAAATCTAGCATCAACAAAAAGTTATTTTAGATTTATTGTTAGACTCAAATAATATTTTTACACTCAAGCTACATTATATAAAACTTGAAACTAAACAAACTTATAAAGATAGCAAAATTGTTAATTTTTCCATTAAAAAAACGTTCAATGCATTGATGCATTGTTTTAACGTTAACATAAATTTATAAATTTGAAAAAGCAGAGTTTTGGTGACGAATACTTTTTAATATTATTAAATGCCAAACAAAGATAATTACTTAATAAAAAATGTAAACATATGCTTTTTAGGCGAATATGAAGTCAACAATATTCTAAATGTTTATTCCACTGTTTTAGATTAATAATAGTTATATTAGTAATAAAAACATAAAAATGAAATATAAAAATAATATGATAATAATAGTAGTCTATAAAAAACAAATCATTTTTTATGAAAATCAAAAAATATAAGAAATAGTATTAAAACATAAATAATATTTTATTATAATATGTTAATATATGATGACCTTTTACATACATACATTAATTTAGGGTTGCCATTGTCTTCTTTTTTACCGATGGAGAGCGCGGGCTTAAGATTTAAAAAAATAGTCAAAATTAAAATTAAAAAAAAGGATAGCATTATTACCATGGTTTGGTATCCAGTAGCAACAAAAACTACATGTTCGCTGTTCAAGTTAGCGATCGATATTTTTTCCATCAACCAAAACTCTATTTTGCGTTACTCATCATTTAGCTAAGTTGCATCTTTTTACTGTTCCTCTTAGTTAAAATCGTTTTATTTATCTAGTTTTTTCAGTGAACATCAGTGCTTTGGAGTTTTCTATGGTCTTCATGTTTTCCTCGCACATAAAATCTACATTTTTAATAATTATTTATAGTCAATTTTCACAATCGACATGTACAATTTACAATCATTCGTTTTCTTGCTCTTCAACTCTTTATATATATATATATATATATATATATATATATATATATATATATATATATATATATATATATATATATATATATATATATACATATATATATATATATATATGTATATATATATATATATATATATATATACATATATATATATATATATATATATATATATATATATATATATATATATATATGTATATATATATATATATATGTATATATATATATATATATATATATATTATATATATATATATATATATATATGTATATATATATATATATGTATATATATATATATATATATATATATATATATATATATATATATATATATATATATATATATATATATATATATATATATATATATATATATATATATATATATATATATGTATATATATATATATATAAGAGAGTTGAAGAGAGTTTGATTCTTATATATGTTGGCTAACAAGGACTTTTTTTTTTTTATAGGTAAGTTAGTCGGCAAAAAACTTATTTTGGCTTTAGTCGGCAAAAACAGGTTCGTACCCCCTCCCCATTAATACCTCTTCGGGACGGCCCTGTATATACATTTTTTATTGCTTAGGATACTTTGTAAAGTTATTTCAGAAAAAAAATTTTATTAATACTTTTATGATTATTCTGTAAAAAAATTTAACAAACCTAGCGGGCATTTGTTTTTAAAAGTTACGTTCTAAATGTATTTTAAATGTCTTTTAAAAGTCTTTTAAACATTCTTACGTAAAGAACGTTTAAAAGACGTTTAAAAAACATTTAAAAGACATTTAGAACGTAACTTTGAAAACAAATGTCCGTAGGGAAGGATTTCAATATATATATATAAATACTAATTAACCTTATTCAAGTTTAGTTCAAGTTTAGCGACTCCCTAAGGAGTGTTAAAATCTCAACCAAAGATAATTTTTAAAAGTCTTTTGTTAAAAATTTACCACAATTAGTTGCACGCGCGAAGAAGTAATAAAATACTAGTTGTACAAATAAAACAAATAATTTTATATTACTCTAAAAAAAACAAAATTTTGTTTTGCAAAAACATATAAATTGATCTACAAATTTTAAAATTAACATGAAATATAATTTTTACATTTACACTATTGATTTATTTGTATATACTTAAAAAATACGCTAACAACAAGGTCAATTGTTACATTCACAACATGAAAAGCAATATGTAAGTATAGTCTTTGCATAGGCCAAACTGTGTTAAGAATGTACCAATTTCTATTACGGCCTATTAGTCTACAAGGCTCTATTACAAAACGTACATGTACTGAAATACCAAATAGTTCTTTTCCTGATTTTGTTTATTTTTTAATGAGTGAACAAAAAAGTTTAAAATCAAAGCAGCATGTTTAAATTTAAATTCTGCACCATAATTAGTCTGACCAAGTCATAATAAATATTAATGGTATTCATTTTAATATAATTCGATAATTAAAATTTAATTATAGTTATTATAAGATAGTAAAGACATTTTAACAGGTATATTTATAATCTTGATGTAAAATCGTATACAATCTTTGATTTACAATCGTGGTCCTCAATACCACGAAAATATGGACTTGTAACATTGAATAAAAAAATAAAAATTTTGAATAAGCAAACAAAAAATATCAAATGACGAAGAATAATTTTGCTGATAAGGATAATATTTTTTGTTACTATTAACTTCTTGGAATAAATTATTTTTAAATTTTTGCAACAAAGTTACATTTACAAGTTAAATTTTAACAGCAAAGTTGTTCTTTGGATTTTCATTTTCTTATGATTTCTCCATTGTTTACGTTGTTTATTTAATGACTTATTTTTTAAAAACAAACAAACAAGATAACTAAGATGTTGGCTGTATTTTTGAAATAAAATGTTTAACTTTGGGAGATGTTCTGAAATTTTTCTTTTAGTAGGAAATTTTAAAGAAAAATTCAATGATAGAAGGATTTTCATGACAATTTTAGTTGTTAACAATCTCTAGCTTTTTATTTATATGAACTCAATTTTTGTCTATTAGAAGGAGTTTGTTTATTAATTCGTTGAATGAAATAAAATGTTTATATTATTCATTTTATTACATAATATTTCATTTTATGAATTGCCTACTGGAATAATTGGACAACAGAATTAGCTCCGGCATTAACTCTGATTTTCACAATAAAGTTCGCTTGGACAATTTACGCCTTTCAGTTTTTAGCATCGTTTATTAATGGCTTGAAGATATCTTTTTAGTAGAAAACAATACTTTACTATAAAGTTTTATTTCCTACTAAAACAAATTTAAATTTACTTTACATAAAATGTTTTACGTTATTTTACGTAGACAAATAATGAACCATCATTTTTTGTAATAACA